CTTTGGGCTGTCCTCGACTGCTTTCCCAGGCCACAAGCAGGGAGCTGGATGGGAAGCAGGGCCACCAGGATTAGAACCATCGTCCATATGGAATCCCGGCACGTGCAAGGCAAGCACTTTAGCCACTAGGCTGTTGCGCCTGGCCCTGCATCTACTGCTTCACTCACAAAGTGGCTGCAATGGCCGGAGCTGACCCAACCTGAAGCCTGGGTCTTGTTCCGTGTCTCCTGCACGGAGATATTTATTTGTATTTTGAGAGAGAGAGAGCTGTTGGTTCACTTCCTCAGATGCCTGCAGAATCCATGGCTGGGCCAGGTCAGGGCTGGGGACTAGGAATTCAGTTCAGATTTCTGTTGGTGCCAGGAACCCAGAGGCTTGAATTTCCACTGTTGCCTCTCAAGGTCTACATTAGCAGGAACCTGGAATCAGGAACTGGAGCGTGGGACTCAAGCCCAGCTATCTTTTATGTGGAATATAGATGTTCTCACTGGCATTGTACTGTCTAGGCCAAATACCCACATCTTATATTCTATTTCTAAGTGACCGCTCCTCTAAAATCTGGGTCAGTAGTCTGATTTTCCTGTCTGCTTCTTCAGGAAGCAAAAAGTCAAAAATGCGGTGACTCGCAAGACCAGTAATTGCTGTAGCAAGGATGGGATTTCCTGTCAGTGACGCTCAACAGCGGGAAGTAGGGCCATGACAGTAGCTTCCTAATTTGTGACCAGATTTTGTTTCCCATCTTTGAGGTAAGAGCCTCTACTATATCAATAAACTGTTTCTTCCAATTTTTATACAGTGATTGCAGAGCTTTACTGGTTGTGTAGGTTGGGCCATTCTTAAGTTTTATAACCATGTGACAGTTATGATCCGTTTAAAACAGGACTTTGAAACTTTCCATTTGATTTGGTTTCTTGTGGCTGTTGACATGCACACAGGCTGATAGGCCTTATTCAGCAAGTGAGTGAAAGTACACACTTTGGGATCATAAAGTTTTGCTAGCTACCAAGTGTTTGTGGATATCTTTATCTTTTAAAAAATAATATTTATTTGAGAGACAGAGAGAATCTTCCATCTACTAGTTAATTCCTCAGATGGTAAAAGAACCACGGGCTCAGCTAAGCTGAAGCCAGAAACCAGGAACTTGTATCTCTCACGTGAGTGTCAGGGGTCCAACTACTCAGGCCATCTTCTTCCACTTTCTCAGGCTCTTTACCAGAGGGCTGTATTGATAGTGAAGCAGCCAGTGCCCATTGTGAGATGCTGGTGTTGCGGGCAGAGGCTTAGTGTGCTCTGCCACAGTGCCTGCCCCCTGGGTAAGTTATTTATTTGCTTTGTGCCATAGTTTCTTCCTTTGTAAGATCTTCAAAATAAAGTAAATTTCCTGTATCTGTTTTGAAGATACAATTAAATAATGTAGGTTATACACAATGCCAACATAAGTTCTTAATAACTGGTAGCTATTATGAAAGCTCTGATCCTTGTTGAGTTAGTGTTTGATGTGTTCTGATTGTTGATAATGGATAGTCATATCCTGTACTGGCATATTCCAGTATTTTACCAAGTTTGTTGTCTCAGAGATTCAGTTAGACAAAGTAGAAGAAAATGGAAACTGGTTACAAAGTATCGAATTTTTAGAATCAATATTACTTGTGTTTAATAAGGAATATGTTCCTTTTCTGCTTTTTATCTAATAATGCCTTTTTAAATTTTGTTGTTTTTTTTCTTCTCTCTTTAAACTTTACTACTAAGGTCAAGGAAAAGCTAAACTAAAAACAAAAATTAATAAATTATTGATTTATTTATTTGAAAGACAAAGGAACCAAGGAAGGAGGGAGAGGATGGGGAGAGAGAGAAAGAAATCTATCCATTCATCCACTAGTTCTTTCCCCCAAATGGTCACAACAGCTAGCCCTGGGCAAGGCTGATGCCAAGCACTTAATCTGGGTCTTCCACATGGTACAGAGGCCCAGGCACTTGGACCATCGCGTGCTGCTTTCCCTGGAGCATTAGCAGGCAGCTAGATTGGAAGGAGAACAGCTAGAATTTGAACTGGTGCTCATATGGGATGCTGGCATTGCAGGTGGCAGCCTAACTTACTACATCACAACACTGGCCCCAGAAGCCATCTTTTTAAAATATTTTCATTTACGTAAAAGGCAGAGTGACAAAGAAAAGGCATATATAGAGAGAGTCCTTCCATCTCCTGGTTTGCTCCCTAATTGCCTGCAAGAGCCAAAGCCAACAGCCAAGAACTACATCTGGGCCTCCCAAATTGGAAGCAGGGACTCAAGGACTTGGCTGATCATCCACTACCTTGCTTGAATGAAAGATCCAGACTTGAACCAGCACTCTAGTAAGGGCTACAGGTGTTCCAAGTAGCAGCTTAACCCACGGTGCCACACAATACCTGTTACAAAACCCAAGGTTAAAACTAAAGATTCAAATTAGTAGGATATACAGTTGCCTTTCTTAGCTTTAGCATTTCTTGTGCTTTGAAGCTGCAAAATATTGTGAAGAAAACCTTCTTGTAAATTGCATGTAGTGTTCTAGGCATTATCTGCTGTCTCTCGGACATGTTATCAGGAAGCTGGATCAAAAAGCAGAGTAGCTGGGACTCATACCGGATATGAGTGTCCCAGGCTATAGCTGAACATAGAACTCATCATGTGTAAGATTTTTTTAAAGGCTTATTTATTTATTTACTTACTTATTTTAATGGGGTTTTGTAAAGTTGTTTTTTTTTTTTAATTGGAAAGATTTACAGAGAGAAGGAGAGACAGAGAAAAAGATCTTCCATACACTGGTTCATTCCCCAAGTGGCCCCAATGACCAGAGCTGAGCCAGTCCAAAGCCAGGAACCAGGAGCTTCTTCTAGATTTTCCATGTAGGTGCAGGGTCCCAAGGCTTTGGGCCATCCTCAACTGCTTTCCCAGGCCACAAGTGGCGAGCTGGAAGGGAAGTGGAGCAACCAGGATATGAACCAGCATCCATATGGGATCCTGGAGCATGACATACAAGACGAGGACTCTAGCCACTAGGCTGTCATGTTGCACTTGGACACTTATTTATTTTTAAAGACAGATTTTACACAGAGAGAAGGAGAAACGGAAAGGTCTTCAGTCTAACTGTTCACTTGCCAGATGGCCTCGACGGCCAGAACTGAGCTGATCTGAAGCCAGGGGCTTCTTCCCAGTCTCCCGTTTGAGTGCGGGACCCAAGGACTTTAGTCATCCTTCGTTGTTTTTTCAGGTCATGAGCAAAAGGGTGGATCAGAAGTGGAGCAGTTGGGACATCAACCAGCTCCAATACAGGATGCTGGCATTAGCAGGTAGAGGATTAGTGTGTTCTGCCACCATGGCAGCCCAGATAGAAAGGTATTTAGGATTTATTGTTTGGATGGATTTGCTAAACTAAAATATATTGAAAAGTATAAGCATTATTGAGAGCTTTCAATTTGAGAAGAATTGTAGTTTGGAATATTGGTATGAAGTGTGTCCACAACCTGTAATCACATGAGGTCCTCAATAGCCTTCAGTTAAATTTTCTTTATCCTGACTCATTTGAACTGGAGACCATGGTCTTGTCTGTATCTGACCCACGTCTTGCCTGTTTCTGACCACTGCCTAGTGTGTTTGGTGAGCTGTGAATGATTAACTCCATAGCTGTCCAAAGGGGTCGGGGAAGGTAATAGTGAGAAGGAGGGTTCCAGAGCCTGGAGCCTGACTGACGAGGTTCAGATTTGGATTCTGCTGTTTATCTTAGATTTGGGACTTTGGGTAATTCTCAACATTGGCTTACTTAGGAGCAATAATATGAGGATCTTCTAAAAGTTTGTGGGAAGTACATATTATAAAAAGCTATTGCATGAATTTCAGATTTTTTTGCACCAGAATTTGTTTACTTTTTAATTTCATTTTCAACAACCTTCTTGAAGTCCCCTCATAGAATCTCTTGAGTTATGTAAGATGGAGCACCTAAAGGCATTTTCTTTGAAATGACCCACTGCATGTGCTTAAACACTAGGTATTTTTAAAAATTTGATATTTGGTTATTTTGGTGTTTTAGGAATTATTAGAGTAGATGAAAGCACTTTTGCAAGAGAGAAAATGGCCTTAATAGAGTTATAACTTAGCCTGGGCCACTTAGCTCATGCCTGGCAGAGATCACGCCTGAAGGTAGGTTTTTTTGACCAAATGCAGGGGTTTGGGCCTTGGCATTGGTGACCCTTGGAACCAGGTAATTCCTTGTTAGAGGTACTGTTTGTGACAAACAGATGTTTTGCAGCATTACAGACTGCTACCTGCCAGGTGCCAATAGCTCCTAGAGGCCTCCTCCCGGTCGGTCACTGTCACAAGTCACACTGTCTTCAAGCATTGTCCAGGAGTGTGGCTTCAGAGCCGGGGAGGGCCTCTCCAGGGCCGCGCTAGGAAGGCCTTGTCTCGCTGCATTCCTGGGCGTGAGCTCTTCAGTGATCCAAGCTCTGTAAGGTGGCCCTTTGTTCTGTAGCTCCTGGAATTCTGAGCACAACTCCATGAGATGTTGGAGTATACTCCTCAGAACAATAATGTTTAAATACAGTGGTTCTTGGGCCAGGCATGGTGGCCTAGAGGCTAAAGTCCTCACCTTGAACGTGCTGGGATCCCATGTGGGCACCAGTTCTAATCCCGGCAACCTCGTTTCCCATCCAGCTCCCTGCTTGTGGCCTGGGAAAGCAGTCAAGGATGGCCCAAAGCCTAGGGATCCTGCACCCGCATGGGACTCCTAGGGGAAGTTCCTGGCTCCTAGCTTTGGATCGTCACAGCACTGGCTATTGCAGTCACTTGGGGAGTGAATCATTGGACGGGAAATCTACCTCTCTGTCTTTCTTCCTCTCTGTATATCTGACTTTACAATAAAAGTTTAAAATAAAAATAAAATATAAAATATATAAAAAATAAAATTAAAAAATATATATATAGCGGTTCTTACAATTCTAAAAACTTTTACTCTTTTGGTTACAGGTGGCACAACTTAAACAAAGGTATTTATGGAATTCCAATGAATAGTGATGGAGATGCAGTTCAAATAACTAAGGTAAGAGAAATAAAACCAGAACTGTTAGGGGTTTGTCAGCCACGTCAATGGCCTCACAAACTAAAGCTAAAACTAAGTTCTTTGTAATCAGTTTTGTCACCAAGTTAAAATATAAGCTTTTTAAAATTATTATTACTAAAAATATACTTATTCTTTAAAATGATCATCAGTCAGAATCAAAGAGCTTTTGTTTTTTTGAATCAAAAATTATCGGAAAGGCAAATCTGATTTATGCAGAGGAAAGTCAGATCTTCCATGCATTGGTTCATTCTCAAATGGCCACAACAGCCAGAGCTGAGTCGATCTGAAGCCAGGAGCTGGGAGTTTCTTCCAGATCTCCCACCTGGGTGCAGGGTCCCAAGTCTTTTTGGCCATCCTCTGCTGCTTTCCTAGGCCACAAGCAGGGAGCTGGATGGGAAATGGTGCCCACGTGACATCTCAGCACTTGCTAGGGAAGGATTAGCTAACTGAGCCATTGCACAAGGCCCTGATACACTCTTTGTTGGTTAAGCTAGAGCTTCTGTAACATGGCACAGATGATCTCCAACCTCTAGGTAGAAATGCAAACCTGCACTATAGCCTAGGAGACTAATTGAAATTGAACATACAACTGAATCCTATAACCCAGGAGTTCTATCTACTCCTAGGTATTTACTGTTGAAAATGAAAACTTTTATCTGCACAAAGACATGCAAATGAATTGTATGTAGCTTTACTTATGATAGCCAAGAAAAAATACTCAAAACCTAGCGAATAAGAGATGAACTCTGATGTATTCATAGAATGGAATTGTATTCAGCAGTAAAAAGGAACAACTAATATTTGTTTTTTTTTTTTCTTTTTGGAACAACTAATATTTAAAACGTACATTAGTGAAAGAAACTAAACATACAAAAATAATGTGGGACCTGGTGTGATAGCCCAGTGGCTAACTTGTCTTGTACACACTAGGATCCCGTTTGAGTGCCGGTATGTGTCCCAGCTGCTCTACTTCCCATCCATCTGCTTGTGGCCTGGGAAAGCAATGGAGGACGGCCCAAAGCCTTAGGAGCCTGCATCAATGTGGGAGATCCAGAAGAGGCTCCTGGCTCTTGGTTTCGCATCAGCTCAGCCCTGCTTGTTCATTGCAGCCACTTGGGGAATGAACCAGCAAACAGAAGATCTTTCTGTGTCCCTTTCTCTCTGGAAATCTGCCTCTACAGTAAAAATGTATACATCTTTTAAAATTAAAATTTTTTTTCTAAGCAGATGTGGTTACTGGGACAAACTAGAGTTTGATGGTAGATCAGTAGTTGTTCTGGCAAGAGTTGGGGGTTGTGATGGAGGGAGGCATTCTAGGACCTCGACAGCACTGAAACATTTTTTTGTGTGTGAATATGAACATACATACTTTTTTCTCTCTCTTCCTATCTCTTTCTCCTTGTGGTAACATATACCTAACATAAAACTTATTGTCCTGGTGCCAACATTTGCAGGTAAAGCTGCCTGCACTGCTGACATCCCAAATGTACTAGTTTGTGTCTTGGTTGCTCCATTTCCCATCTAGTTCTGTGCTAGTGACCTTGCAAAGCAAGAGAAGATGGGGGTACGGCATGATGGTTCAACTGGATAATTCTCCACTTCTAAATGCTGGGATCTGATATGGGCACCGGTTCATGTTCTGGCTGCTTCACTTCCCATCCAGCTTCCTACTTGTGGTTTGGGAAAGCAGTAAGAGACGGCTCAAAAGCCTTGGGACCCTGCACCCCTGTGGCAGACCTGGAAACGGCTCCTGACTCCTGGCTGCTGGCTTTAGATCTGCTCAGCTCTGGACGTTGGGGCCACTTGGGGAGTGAGCCAGCAAATGGAAAATTTTTTTCCTTGTGTTTCTCTCTTTCTCTGTAGATCTGCCTTTCCAATATAGATAATAAATCTTAAACACAAATCGGGAAGTATTGTGTTGTTTTGGAAGAGGTTGTGTAAAACTGGCATTTTTTGATCTAGATATTTAGTAGAATTTAGTAGAATTTGCTAGTGAAGCAATCTGGACCTGATGGTTTATTTCTTAGGAGTTAAATATTTCTTTAAAATTTATAGGAGTTTTGGTAGTTGTGACTTTCAAGAGTTATTCCAGTTGGCTGCATTCTTGGATTTTTGTATGTGAAATTATTCATAATACTCCCTTTTCTTACTAATGTCTGTGGTATCTGTAATGACATCTTTTTTAAAAAAAGTTTCAAAGGTTAATTTTATCAGCCAAAATATGATCTGTTTTGATCAGTGTTCTGTGGACACTTGAACAGCTCATCCCATCTGCTTTTGGGTGGAATGTGGCAATGTCAGTTGGTTAATGGCTGATGTCCAGGTTTTTGTAGTTTTGCTGATTTTCTCTGCAGTGGTTCTGTGAGTTTTGAACAAATTATTGAACTGCCAACAGTAATTATTGATTAGCCTGTTCCCCTTTAAGTTGTGTCAACTTCTGCTTCTTATGTTTTGAAGCTCTGTTCTTTCATGCATGCACATGTGGAATGTCTAGGTTTGGTGAGTTGACCCTTTCATCATTATGTATCATCCCTCCTCATCCTTGGTAGTTTTCCTTGCCCTGAAGACTGTTTTATCGGTTATTAATTTATTCTTTTCAGCACAGCTTTCTGTAAGTTAGTATTTGCATGGCATTTATATATATTCATGTTTTGAAAATGCATAGGCTTTAAAAAGCAGTTACAGATTTGAGGTAATGTATGGGAAATGTATGGGAAAATACAGGGTTCCCCTCTGAATCCTAATTTCCTCTGTGATTTGCAACTTCTGTTAGTGTGATGGGCATGATTGAAATACTTCCTTTGTTAGCCCTAGCAGGTGTGGGCCATTTTACAGCCAGCACACTCACTTGATCTGGCCCTGCCAAGGCAGCCACAGGTAAGATTAGAAAATCAGTCAATCTGTAACAGGCTACATTTTCAGTTGATAGGTTTTGTTTGCTTGTTTTTAACGATTTATTTATTTTTGTTGGAAAGTTGGATTTACAGAGAGAAGAGACAGAGAAAAAGATCTTCCATCGGCTCGTTCACTCCCTAAGTGGCCACAATGGCTGGAGGTGAGCCAATCCGAAGCTAAGAATCAGAAGCTTCTTCCAGGTCTCCCACAGGGGTGCAGGGCCCAAGAACTTAGGCCATCCTCTACTGCTTTCCCAGGCCACAAGCAGGGAGCTAAAGGGAAGTGGAGCAGCCAGGGCATGAACCAGCACCCATATGGAATCCCAGCAGTTGCAAGACAAGGATTTCAGCCACTAGGCCACTGTGCCGGGCCCTGGAAATTTTTTAAAATATATATAACTAAAACTAACCAGTGCTGTATGGGCACCAGTTTAAATCCTGGCTACTGCACTTGCAACCCAGCTCCCTGATAATGCACCTGGGCCAAGTTGATAATTTTGTGTGGCTTGTGAATGATGTTACAGATATCCACATAACCCTTAGCAAAAAAAAATGTTAACCACCCCTGGGCAAGACAAGGCTTTTCTTAGTTCTTTTTTGCCTGTGCTCATTGGTGTGTTGAGTTGTGGGTCACTCCAGAACTCAGACTAGAACGGATTAGGAGTTATTCCAAGCAAAACAGAGAACAAGGAACTTCTGCTGGATTGTCCTTGTATCCCGATCCACCTTCCCTCTTAGCCAGTCTACTTTTCTCTGACTTAAAAATCTTATTAATTGCTTTAAGATTTTTGTCCATAGTTTTGGTTATAACTAGTGGGAAGAGTTAAGGTAAGATGTTTAATCAATTTTATTCTGAACTATAAAATCCATTTGAACTTTTAGGTTTTTTGTTTGTTTATTTGTTTGTTTGTTTGTTTTTTGAGAGACACAGTGAGACAGATTCCATCTGCTGGCTCACTCCCTGAAGGTCTGCAACTGCCGAGGTTGGGCCAGGCTGAAGCTGGGAGCCGGGAGCTCCATCCAAGTCGCCCACATGGGTGGCAGAGACCCAACTACTTGAGCCATCACCCGCTGCCTTGCAGGAAACTGGTTCAAGGACAGAGTTGGTGCTTGAACCCTTGCACCACTTCCATTGTAGTGTTAAATTTTGAATTTCATACTTAGTTTCACTCTTTTTTTTTTTTTAACCTAGGTGTTTTTTTCTGAGGACACAGTCATTTCATTTCCGCATAAAGGCATGGCGGGGAGATAGGAGGGTGTGTTTCCTGATAACTATCTCAAATTTTCTTATCCTCTTAGCTGAAACTTCTAGAAACAGAGACTGGCTTGTTGCCCATGGCCAGATTCCTGCCTGTTTTGATTTGGCAGACGGGCTCAGAAAGGTTTTTCTACTTTTCAGTTGTAAAAAAATTCAAAAAGTATAGTTCATGAAAATATATGAAATACAAATGTGTGACTTGAGATGTCAGTGTTCATAAATAAAGTTTTGCTGGAACAAGGCTGTACTCATTTATTTATGTAATTTTAATGGATTCTTTCATGGTGCAGCAACAAAAGTTGAGTAGTTGGCACCATCGCCTGTGGTAGGCAATTAGCAAATCATAGTGGTGGCAGCCAGCACGCTCTTCTTATCCTCCTTAATTGACAGTAATTTCGCTTTTTGGTATGTTACTGGCCATTATTTCAAAATAGATTTTCCTCAGTGAAAAAACTCTTTAGTTTCTGGTTTCTAAGTATTCCTGAGCTCTTTCCCTCACAGACCTGGTTCCTTTTCTGTGTCCACTGATTGGTGCCATGGCACCTGCTAGGCAAGTCAGAGGCCCAGGAAGATACAGCATCTGGTACTTCTGTCTCTCTCATCCCAAGAGTAAATCCACTATAAAGTCCAGTTTGTCTGCTGTTGGCTTTTCCCGCACTCCTCTTTATCCTCTACATCTCGGCTCGGAAGTGAGTATATCAGGGAGACGCCCACTGTTCCCTGATGAGGTCACATTTTCTTGTATTGAGAGTTCTGTACTGTTCTGTCCCCTGTCATGATTTCTGTGAGGTGATTGGCATCAGTTTTTTTTTGCTACTAGGCTTGTA